GCCGTGGGATCCCCACGGTCCTCCTCTCGAGGCCTTGCCTCCCCATCCCTGCTCCTGTGGGCTACAGCGAGCCAGCCAGTCCTTGGTTGGAATCCAGTCTTCCCTTAATGGAATTCCTGAAAGGGATTTATTCGTGGCACATTCCACTCATTTCAGCCAGCCTGTCGTTGCAGGCCCTGGGAGGTAGCTTTGGAAATTAAGAGAAAGCAAACTTTAATTTGAGAAGTGCATTTTTGAAGCTTAGGTGCAAACCAGGACAGATAATCTGATGTGGATCCGCCCAGAAAGTTTTAATTCCTTCCTGCTGTTTAGCAAGGCCGAGGCTGGGAGGGAGGGTTTCAGAGGAGGCCATGCTATTCCATTCCATCGGGGTCACCATGCTGAGACAAGTGCCGGGCTGAAGAGTGGTCAAGAAAACTCTCTAAAGCCGCAGATATGATTACTTTCGTTCTCAACCTGCACTTTGTCACCAGGTAATCATGGAGGTGTATCTAATTTCTCAGAATCGTGTCACCTGTTTGTGTGACAGCATGCCATACACATCAGCTCACCTCCCTGGTGAAGAGACAGGACAGCTGGAGCCTCTCCCAAGGCCTAGGAGATCCTTTATGGGTCCTCATGTATGGCAAAGGGGACCGACATCCCCACTGATCAGTGGAAAGGGAACTATATTGGCGTTAAGGGGCAAGGCAGGGCAGGCTGGGTGGCCCAGCGGTTTAGCACTGCCCTCGGCCCAGGGTGTGGTCCTGGGGTCCCGGGATGGAGTCCCACGTCGGGCTCCCCGCATGGAGCCTGCTCCTCCCTCTGCCTGTGTCTCTGCCTCTCTCTCTTTGACTATCATGAATAAATAAATAAAATCTTAAAAAGGGGGGGGCAAGACAGCGCCTCATGGTTTCATCAAACGGGATGCAGCACATCAGGCCACCTTGGGACCAGGAGTTCACCATATGCCTCATTGGGTCTCGGCCTCAAATCGTACAGACCTGCTTTCCATTGCCATCTTCTGTGCTCCTGGACCCGGCCCTGTCTCTGAACCTCCGTAGCCCACGAGGAGAAAGGGGAGAATTGGCCCCGGACACTGCCTTCCTTCTACAAACGGAAACTCCCCTGGTGTCCTTGGGGAGCAGCATTACCCCGTACCCAAAGTACTCCTCTTGTTCATTGTGACGGGTCACATCCTGATGAGAGGCACCTGTGTGAGCCAGGAAGTGCTATTAACTGTGACATGCCATGTCCCACACAACCCCCCCCCCGCCCCAACTCGGGTGGCCTGTTCACCTAAAAATTTCATGATGTGGATTCTGTTCTCCATTGGGTCCTAAATACTCCCCACACTTCTTTACGGGAACCAAAGCCACTTTCAAAGTAAGTCAGCCTGAGGGTGAATGAGGACCGCTGGACCACACGGTCCCGACGCATCCCCGACACAGTGGCGTGTGTGACGGTGGGTGCCAACGTCCACGCTCCTCCAAATCAGTTGTCCCACCAACTGGTGCTACGCAAGTGAATTCCTTGGGGGAGAGTAATTACTGCATCAGAAGCCGGCGAGATTATCCTTGGGGTGTACTCTGTTCTCCCGAGAACACTTCCTTTCACAATTATGTTCTCTACTAGGAATCTATTACATGATCTAGTTTTTCCTCCAAAGACATCATTAATCATATGGTGAAAACGTTACTACAATTGAAAATGTAGAGGTGTTTGTTAAACACCGTGTTCGACGCTTGGCAATCTCACGCTCAAGGATTTTAAAGAACCAGCGCCTGACAGCTTACGATCGATGTCACTGATTCACCTGCCGCCTCTCTTCCAAGGATGAGGATGCTGTCTTGCTTTAAAACGGTCACGTAGGAGTTTAGAATATAGTCTAATCCCACCGCCAAGCTTTGCTACGGCATTCCGTGTCGAGTCGTGTCCCAGCACACGGGGCGTCCCGGCCCAGTGTGATGGCTGCAGGCAGCTCAACACGGAGCGCTCAATTTTAAACAATTAACAACAGTCCGCAGGGGCGCCTGGTGTTGCTTAAGAGTCTGACTTGGTTTTGGCTCAGGTCGTGATCTGAGGGTCATGAGATAGAGCCCCACGTTGACTTTTCAGCTTAGCTTACTCATGGCTTGGGGCTGAGGCAATCGCCAGCCATCAGAGGCAAAAGCAGGAAAGGCAGGATCCCACACTGAGGGCAAAGGGGAGGGACCCCAGGAAGGAGGGGGCTCGCCGATGAGGATGTGGGAAAGGTACAGGCAGATTCAGGGGTACCAGCCCAGGGATCTGCCCTAGGGCAGCCTTGATGCCTGATTCCAGATCTAATGCCTACTTTTTTTTTTTTTAAGATTTTACCCGTTTATTCATGAGAGACACAGAGAGAGAGAGGCAGAGACACAGGCAGAGGGAGAAGCAGGCTCCATGCAGGGAGCCCAGTGTGGGACTTCATCCCGGGACTCCAAGATCACGCCCGGGCCAGAGGCAGGCACTAAATCGCTGAGCTGCCCAGGGATCCCCTAATGCCTACTTTTATGATTTGTCCTGGGGGTCTCTTAGTTGGGGAGATAGTGTCCCCAAGTTCTGAGCCCACTTGGGGCTCAAAAGCCTGTTGGTGATGACGCAGCGAGTGCTCACTTCCCTCGTTCTGGAAGCTCTGGGTTTCCCTGGCTGCAGCTTGCAGCCTAATGGGGCAGCCAACCCCGCCAAGCCGCAGCAGTGAGGCGCTGTGGGCAGCACGCCTGGAGGAGCAGCCCTGCTTCCACATGGCTACACTGGGGCACCCCTCAGGCCCTGCACCAGGCAAGGCCCTGGGCACCCGGGTGGGCTACACAGTGAGAAACTGCCTCAGGTTCCTGGGCAAGCCCCTTAACCACTCAGTTTCCTTTCTGTTCAACAAGTATTTCCCACCCTAAATTTATGGGGACTGGAAAGCCATCTAAATTCTGGGTGGTAAGGTATGCCAAAAACAAAGGAAATGATGGGGCGCACAGCGGGGCGCTGGGCTGGGGGAGCGGAAACAGGTGCCTCCGAGGGGGGCGGGGGAGGAAGCCTGACAGAGAGAAGCCAGCAACTGGGACACACCAGACTGATCATGCCCATCTTCGCTCCTGGCCCTAACCATCTCTGACTCACCCACAGGTCCCATGGGGCACACTTCCTGCCCCTCCCCTCCGGAGCCCACACAGGTTACTGTAGGGCAAGTGTCTGTCTGGAGGCCACCTGGGCGGAGCTTCTGAGGAGGCCGCTGGGAATGGGCAGTGGGGGCCCCTCCCTCACTAATTAAGGAGCCATCACCACTGGCTAACGTGGACAATTAGGGTGACCGGTCCTAACATGTAGAGAATACAGGACTAACGAGCCCCTTACCTAAACAGGAAATGCCGTTCTTCACTTGCAGACGTTGAACACTTGCTGTGTTGGCTGACAAACCAAGGTTCTGCCACCGTTTGCACAGGTTTGCAGGTCTGCACCACAAGCCACCTTCACAAGACACCCATCCAAGCATCATGACGTTTCCGCGGCCACACATAACAGACGTACCGAAATCGACCTCTGCCACTCACAGGTTTGCCACAGTTTGTCTCTATAGACCAATCAAGCCAAGACAACAAGACCCTCCTGGGGGTCGGCGAGTTTTCCCCTAAAGTTGTTGTTGTTTCCCCAGTAAGAAGGAAAAGGTTGTAACCCTGTGTTGAAATCTCAATGGGCTCACAGGAATGGACCCAACGGCGAGCCTGCCATAGACTTTCTTTCCAACACTGGCTGGCAAACTCTGATAATGTTAAGTATCAAATAGCAATGTACAGTCGGCCAGTGATAAGGCTCAGGATGGGTTCCTAGTTGTACAAACAGATACAAAGTCATCCAGCGACCAACGTGGTGTCTGGGGTCCCAGGGGCCAGTCAGTCAAGGGTCCAACACTGTGGTCACAAGGAAGCCCAGAGTGTCCACACCAACAATCTCAACAGTTTGGCTTCAAGGAAATAGCGAGGAAAGACAGGAAAATGAAAGCCAGAAAAGTCTTGGTGGATCTTCCTCAAAAAGAAGGAAGGGTTGACTGTGGACTTCGGTTGAGAGTCCTAAAATACAATAATCTAGTGGTACCTGAGTCCCTGTCATTGTTCCAGATTCCTCACAGATTTCCACGTCATTGTAAATGGCTCATTAGAAGCCACGGGCTCTTGTTCCTGGGTGACGTGGGGCATGTCCTCTCCCAACTGGCCCCCCCACCCGCCTGAACGAGGGGTGCGGGATGAGCCCACGGTGCACAGTGACATGCGGAATAAGTTCCACGGGAAGAAATAGGTCAGGCTGGAAAAAGAAACACCAACCCAGGGAAGCATTAACTCTACACACGTTGAAAATCTAGAGCTAGCACCGGAGCACCTAGGTCACTAAGAAAACTCAAAATCCCTCACTGGTCACCGAATCTCCTTAACGTGCAACAAGCCGTGGCACACTCCAGAGCCTCTGAGTCCCCCTCTCTCTCTTCTATTTTTATTTCTGTGGCTCAGTTGACAACAGTTTATTTATAGCCCCACCCGTACCCCTATAATATAGATGACTGGTTGCCAACGAGGCCACTCTAGGTCACCACCAGCTGCCTTGGACCACTTCAGACTTGGAAGGGAGCCACCTGCCTTCCTTTTGCCTCCCAAACAGTAAGAAATAGTCCCCTCCCGAAAGGCTCTCGTGAAGGGCCTCCAGCGAGGAAGGCCAAGCACCCATAGGAAACCAGCACCCAAGGACACTGGCCGGCCTTTGTGATCGTATCAGAATTGAAGAGCCACCATAAATCTAGAGTCTTCTAATCCAGACTGTTTGTATTAGAGGTGAAGAGAAGTCAGGGCATCAAGCCTTTAAAGAACTTGGTTGCAGCAGCTGACCACAACGATGAAATAGGAAACTCCCCGTCTCCCCACTTCCAGACCCCGATGGTCCCAGACGATAGACCCATGGACAGGTGGCCTCCCTCGCAGGCTCCGCCCACCCCCAGCACACACAGCAGCCCTCCCTACCTTTCTTTCTCCACCAGGGTCCTTCGGGGACTGAGTAGGAGAGGTCCTTGAACTCAATGTTCACGGCCGCCCTGCGGGGCAGGGACGAGAAGCGCTGGGCCTCTGTGAGGTTGTTATCCACCTTTTTCAGGTGTCCATTCAGCAGATCCGTCTCAGTAGCTTCCATGTTGCTGGAGACCACCTCATCCACGGAGACACACACGGACTTGGGCTCCGTCATCGCTGTGGAATAGCTGCTGGCATTCTAGAAAAATCGGGGAGGAAGCACCAAGAAAGCTTAGGAGCCCCGCGAAGGGAAGGGCACCAGGGACTGGCTGTCGGGCTGCGGGTCATCTATTATCCGTGGCAACACTTGTTGCCTTACTGAGGGGTGCTTACCCGGAGGGATTTGTCATCTCTAGCCATCTCCCTGCTTCTTCTATTAAAAATATATATATATGCTTAAGATAGGATATTAAACTGTTCTACCAAAGTCTCACTTTGGAATCACAAAATCGACTCACAAAACTATGAAAAACAAATCCCTTGACTCAAAGAGTCAAACACTGGCCACTGTAAAAGACCTATTTACAGCAAGTACACTCATTAAAAGACCCAGTGAAGATGCACGGGGTCTCTAAGAAATGCATAATTGAAGGAGGTTTACTTAAAAATGAGCTGTTTTAGTGCCTTCCTGTGGAAGCTCATAAACATTTCCCAAGAGCCATGACTCCACTAGAACTGCTGGGTTTCGTGGGAGTCAGCCTTGTGTCCTCTTTGTGAATTTTCCAATTCACTTCCAACTCTCTCTCTCTCTCTCTCACTGTCTCTTTATAATAGCCCCGGAAAGCTGGGAAGTTTGATTTTTTTTTCTCTCTCTCTCTGTAAGATACAGATGGAGACACAGACAGTCTAGGGAGCTTGCTCCGAGCCCTACAACCAGGTGAGGGGCCAAACTGATCCAAACTGAGTCCTCAAGAGAAGAGGTGTTCCTCTCCCTGCAACACCAAGAGGACCTGATATTTTGTAGCTACACTGGCTTATGAAGCTTCCACTGGGAGTCCACCGAACTGTTATACAGATACGCCAAGAACCAAAAGTATTTATGCAAAGAAAGGAATATCTAATGGTTTGGCAATGCAGAACCGATCGATGTGCTTCAGGTACCTCTAAAACGCAGAAGAATCCTGGGGTGGACAAATTTTATGCTGTGCTTTTCCTGGCTGTCTCTTGAATCCAAAGAGAACATTCCACGGTGCCAAAAGTGTGGGCCTTTGGCACCTCTCCTCCATACAGTGGAGGACCGCCTGCCTGATTGCGAGAGCCCATCGATAACCATCTCTGATGATGCAGGCCCTTCTCCCTGCCATGGGACTGGAGAGACACACTGCCACGTCATCATTTGTTCTGAGGCGGAACAACCATGCTGTTATTTTTCCATAGGTTTGCTAGGTGTTCCTTTAGCGTTGATAGCTTCTTGATCACTAGTATGTCCAATCAAAAACCCAAAACAAAACCAGAAAGTGGATCATCCATAAATATACCCACAAACCCTAGCAATTCTAGTGGCCCAAACAAGGCTTTTTCCCCCGTTAGAGTGCCCTCTCTGGGGTCCGTCACTGTACCACTGAAGAGCTGGTTTTTTTTCCATCAAGGTATTGAAAGGCTCAAAAACCTCAGAGGACTGGGGCACCTGAGTGGCTCCGTTGTTTGAGTGACAGACTCTTGATTTCAGCTCAGATCATGATATCAGGGTGGTGGGATCGAGCCCCACATTGGACCCACAGTTGGTGGGGAGTCTGCTTGAGATTCCCGCCCCCCTCTCTCTCCCTCTCTGCCTCTGCCCCCCCACCTCACAATAATAAATATTTTTTTAAAATCTTGGAGGGCTTGGCAGCCCGGGTGGCTCAGCGGTTTAGCACCACCTTCAGTCCAGGGCCTGATCCTGGAGACCCGGGATCGAGTCCCACATCGGGCTCCCTGCATGGAGCCTGCTTCTCCCTCTGCATGTGGCCCTGCCTCTCTCTCTCTCTCTCTCTCTCTCTCTCTCTCTCTCTCTCTCTCTCAGTGTGTGTGTGTGTGTGTGTCTCTCATGAATAAATAAAGTCTTTTTAAAAATAAAATAAAATATTGAAGGTTTTGAATATTTGAAGCATACACAAGGCAAGGAGAGATGTGGATTTCTAGTTCTCCTGATGTTTGAAAATGTTGCTTTGCTGCTTCAGTAAAAGACAAACACACACAGTCCTCCCAGGCATCTCCTACCTCTGAAAAGCTTAACCAAATCAAAACTGAGCTCACTGACTATGACATTCTGTGGATAAAAATTAAAGTGCAAAGTAAAACTGAGAAAATTAAGCTTGGTTTGCTGCTGGCACCGAGCATGTGAAACATTTCACATGCAAACATAAGTAGGTTCCTACATTCCCGATGCAGAGGCAGGGAAGGCTTGTGTCTGTCTGGCCATGGACGACCCCGAGCCTTGACGTGAGAATGGGCCGCTCCGGATCCCCGGAGGGACTGCGGGACCCCGCCTCTGCCGTGGGCTTGCCCAGTGCCTTCCGTGGCTGGTGCCTCTCGAAGGAACGATGGCACAGCCTGCCCTAGCTCGGCGCACTCTTGGCTTTGGCCGCTGGGAAAACATGTGCGGTGCCACTGCAGCACCTGCGGTAGCACCAAGGGGCACCCCTTTGCCCACCCATCCTGAGCTGCTGGGATACCTGCTGCTGTTCCATTTTCTCAGCCGACTTTGACACCGTAGGTGCGCGGGGGGTTAGTGGGGAAGACAGCGAGCTCCGGGCCTGGTCCCCAAAGCCCATTCTCCCTCCAGCTGCCACTTCCCTGGGAAGGCTAAATGTCGGGTTCCAAACCCACATCCTGCGGGCAGACTCGCCTCCAACCCTGGGGCTCCCCAGGGACCGTGTGTTCAGCCGGGAGCAGGAGCATCCCGCAGCTCCTCTCCCGCCTGGCATCCGGGCTGCCACGGCGCATCCAGACCGCACCCTCTCCCTGGCACCCACCACACGGGTCACCCCCGAGGAAGGCCAGGGACCAGTGGCGGCTCTCCTCTGATGAAACCCACAGGGATATAAGGGACGAGCAGCCAGGACTCCACTCACGGGCCGACTGACGCAGATGCCCAGCCCGTGTCAGGACGCGGGTCTGACTTCCCCTCTCGACTCCAAGCTTATCTCTTCTCCTGCTCACTGGCTCACTCATTCAGGAATGAGAGCCCCCAGCAAAGCCCCGGGGCTCGGCAGGCAGCCAGGCCTGTGGCCTCAGCAAGCTCCCAGTCAAGGTTGGGCCCCAGGCAAGAATGCGGGCAGTCACAATGCCCCGAGGCAAGAGCTAGACCGACACCTCTCCAGACAATCAGAGGCACCTCCAAAGCAACACGGACCCTGGGGTGCGGTGCAAGGCGGGGGCCGGGGGGCACTCAGCACAAAGTTTTTCTGAGGAAATCAAGTCTCTACTAAGACTCGCCAGGTGGGGGAGGAGGAGGGTGCTGGCTCACTCTGCAGGCGGCCTGCAAGGGAGAGGAAGATCTGGAGATCCGAGACAAATTCAGAGGCTGGAGCTCCAATTCCGGGGTGACTGGCGAGGAAGGGAGGATCAGATGAAACTGGAGACGCACACGGGGTCTGCGCGTGAAGCGCTTGCAAACCCCATGAAGGGTTTTGCACTTTATCTGAAATGGGGGTAACGGACCAGAAAGTGTCACCAAAAACCATTTCCTTCAGCAACCTGCAGATAGGAGGGTGACAGTGGCCTTCCCCAGCCAGTGGCTGTGCAAGTGGACAGGCCAATGGGACAAAGCTGGGTGACAAAACTCATCTGGGACAGAGAGAGGGGAAGGAGAGAGGGGCAGACTGAAGTATTAAATGTTGCCTCCTGCCTGCCAGATAAGTGGTCATAAACAACAGAGGCTATTGATTCAGCGATTACGTGTGCCCAATAAACTCCAGGCTGCAGCCAGGATGCCTCTTACTATCTCTGCACGAAAGGGGGGATCACCGTCTCCCCCTCATCCAGAGTTGGGCTCTAAGGCACAGAGACTGCCTCCTGCCCAAGACCCGCCGTTAATGAGTAGCCAAGCCAAGGCAGCTCTGTGTGGCTGCTCTGCGCCCCGTTGTCCCAACCGGTGTCCTTAACAGCACTCCAGCGTTGCTTAGCTCTCTCGAGGCAGGTTGTAAGTGACCTTGGGTCATCCCGGCCCCTGCCCATGGGAGGAAAACCCACAAGAAACTGAGGAAACCATATAATCCTGCCCCCACAAAAAAACTTGACACCCAAGCGGTGCGTGCCATCACCCACCTTTCTTCCACGGGCATCCAATGACCTTGCCCAATTAATAAAATCATGAAACGTTGTATGATGGGAGGCAGTGGCTGTCATTCTGAAATAGACCAGCTCTCTGGAAACATCCTCAGATGAGAGCGGCCGGCAATGTAGGTTACAGCTAGCCTGTCCTTAGCCTCCTGAGCTCATTAAAAATGAAACAAATACATCTTCCCTCCCCATTTGTTCCCTTTCGTTGCATGCTACTCTATCCTGTCCAAGCATTGTCTTTGACCTCTCCATCTACACTCAATTTGTGCTGCATAATAAATGATAAATAATAGTAAGTCCATTCTTGGGTGTTGAATGCCGAAGAGACCCTGTTTGGATTGTTGCCACCTGCCATACCTGAGAATATTTTCTCGGGTGCTGATTTCAACTGAAATGCAAACATACAGAGATGCCGGTTTAGCTGGGGAGGGTCTCTAACAGTCCCCCAGGCCACTGTGAGGTTGGTTCAGGCTATTTACCCAGGGACACACAGTGAGAGAGGAAAGAGAAACGTCTTCCCACAGCCCATGGGGAAGGGAGGAAAAGGAAGAGGGAGGCGCAGGCACCAGGCATTGGCACAAACTTCTCTCTCAATTCTCTCCCCCATGTGTCACTGCCAGGCTTGGTGCCCACCTAGACCAGTGGACCCTTTGATCGGAGGGCAGGTCCCTCCCGGGTACCCTGGACAGATAAGGGGAAAACACTAGCCAAGAGTCCTCGAGGTCACTGCCCTGGGGAAAACAATCCAAATGTCACACCCCTAACTAAGCAAAAGGCAGGTGCCACTTGTGTGGTCACTGAGACTGTTGACCTCACCATCACCACACCCCACTTCAAACACCCCCAAATACCACCATCCCATTGGGCCCTCGTGCCTGCCCCTCCCAGTCCTGCTCAGGGACAGGTGCATTGCCCATCCTCTAAGTCAGCTTCTCCAGATTCACAGCTGGCAGTCAGTCCCAGGTGGGACCCCAGAGCAGGGGGCGAGGAAAGAGCTCAGGATCCTGGGGCTCTCTCAAGGGCTCTTTGTTTACGACTTGGGTAGAATTTTTTAAATTAAAAAAAAAAAAGTACAAGATTTTCTGGGAGGAGCATGATTTTTCAAACAAAACAATGTTCCCTGAAAAAAAAAAAAAAAAAAGAAGCCCAGCCATCGGTGTCTCCACATGAGTACTGAACGCTAACGAGTGCTGGGTCTGTATCAAACTATGACCTAAAATTTTTTTTAAATCCTGACGTACAAACATCTATACTTTAAAACATTCTGATTCGTTATTTTCCCACATGTACAAGCCCCTTTTGCAGCTTTGAAAGGACTTGGGGAGTCACCTGGCATCTAAAAGATCTGAAGCATTCCTTACCGACAGCTAACAATACTAATCTCCTGAGTTTTCCGTTATCAGCATAATTTAGGAATCCCAAAGAGATGGACAAACGTCAAAGGAAGAATTGCCAAGTGTTACCCAAACATTCAATCAGATCAAAGCAAATGTCACGAGGAGGGGCTGCCTTTTCTGTTTCCATTTCCCCTCTTACATGAGAAGCCAAGTAATGAAGGCAGGGCACCGGCGGAGAGTGGACCTGGTCATCGAGGCCCCCTGCCACCGGCCCCTGCTCCACCAACCTCCTAAACAGGTCTGCGGCCCCATTCTATCGGTTTACACAAAATCATTATATAATGAGCTGGCGACGCTCGGTATGTGTTCTACAGTAACCTGTTTGGAGGCATAGGATGCAGTCGTGAGACAGAGCATGCGCAGCCAGCTATGCTTTGCTTTTTTTTTTTTTTTTTTTTTCCTTGGGCTCAAGGCAAGAGGTAACTGTCGGTCAAATCCTGCTGAGCCCTGCTGACTTCAAACACAGGATGCTAAAAATGAAATAAGGCGAGGGGGTGGGGGTGAAACCCCTGTGCGTGCTGTGCACTGTGGGCTTACAGCCTATGGAGACTAATTAGCAGGATAGTAAATCCACAGACAGAGGATAGAGAGGGATGGATAGGGAGGGCGAGGTGGGTTGGAATAGGGAACACTTTCCATTTGTACTTTAGATGACCTGAAACCTAGCCTGTAAGTACCTAACTGCAATGTCGCTGTGCTAGGCATAAGAATGAAAGGCCCTCGGATGGACTGGTCCATGGTTGGCTTGTTGTTTGTTTGGGGTTTTTCCCTCGCCCCTAATATGAGTTTATGGAGCTCTTACAAAAGAGCGAGAGGAGACTTTGGACCACCCCTGGGAATAGCACTTGATTCACTGTCTAGCACTGACTCTAGCGGCACCCGGGGGTCCCCTACGGGGCTGGCGCCCTCGGGAACGGGAAATCTGCGTCCCTGTCCCCACCCTGGTGTCTGCCGGGGTGCAGAGAAGGTGGCCTGCAGGCGCCCGGGCTCGCCCCTCGGCTGCCTCCCGGGAATCCGCCGCCCCCTCCCGAGCAGGTCCGGGGAGCGCATCAGCGCATCTCGGGTCCCGGGGAGCAGCTCCCTCTTTTGTTCCCCCAGACCGTGCCCGGCGCTCCGGAGGGGGCGCGAGAAGTGCAGGCTCCCCGAGCCCCGGTGCGCGCACTGGCAGGGAGGGAGGACCCCGCCCCCACCCCTTCCTGGGGCCCAGGCTGCCACCGCCCCCAGTGCGCTCGCTCGGGAGCCCAGGCCCCAGGCCCCTGCCCGGAGGGGTGCTCGTGGGGCTGCTGGCCCCTCGGATGGCCCCGCGGCCCCGGCGGGTGCAAGGAGCATCCCGGGGCGCCAGGTGGCCGGGGCGGGGACGGGGGGGGCAGTGGGGGCCGGGCCTCTCCCCGGGGACCCAGGGACGGCTGTCGGGGGTGGGGGTGGGGGGTGCGGGTCTTTGTGCGCTTCTCGCTCCGCTGGAAAACTGAAGCGAGCCCCGGGGGCGAAGGATGCGCTCACTCACCAAGGCGGTGCCGACCGAGAAAGCGGCCATCAGACAGGCCATGCCCCGGGGGCGGCGGGCTCGGGCAGCGCACGGCGGGCACGGGCGGCGGCGGCGGCGGCGGCGGCGGCGGCGGCGGGCACGGGCGGCGGGCACGAGGCTGCGCTCGCTCCAGGCTGGGTCGCTGCGCCGCGCTCGGGCTCGGGCTCGGGCTCGGGCTCGGGCTCGGGCTCGGGCTCCCGCTCCCGCTCCGGCTCCGGCTCCGGCTGCGGCTGGGGCTCCGGCCACGCCCCGCCCCTGGCCACGCCCACGGCCACGCCCCCGTCCCCGCCCAGCCCCGTGATTGGCCGGCGCGCGGGGCGGGGCGGGGCCGGCAGGTGCGCGTGCTCTTGTTTTGCTCCCGCGAAGGGCGAGTCCCGCAGCCCCGGCCTCCCTCCCTCCCGAGCCCGCGGCCTGGCAGGTGCCGCCCCCCCCCGCCCCAGCCCCGGAGCCCCCGCGGCCAGAAGTTCGAGCAGGACCGGCCAGCGGCCCTGGGCGCCCGCCGGACAGCGGGGTCTCCCTCCGGGACCGCAGCCTCCCAGCCAGCGCGGCTGTGTGCATGGGCCAAGGGGGGCGGTCAGGGAGGCTGGAAGGGAACAGCGACTTGCCTTTTCTTTTCTCCTTATTGGGCACCTTTCTAGGGGCGTGAGGACTCAACACGACATGGGCTCTCCAACACCCCCCTAGTCCAGCTCCGTACCTGGGGTGACCGCCCCACACACACACACTGAGACCGTGCAAACACTCATTCCTACACCACTGTTGTGGCCAGTTGCAGGACTACGTGCTGGGTGACAAAAAGGCCCCGTCCCACCCCAATTAAAAAAAGAAAGGGCTCGTTTCCGGTGCCTGGCTCAGTCCTCGGCCCACCACCGTGTTCAGGTAACTGCATAAAGACTGACCCTTCAGACACCCTCTCATTTGGCCCCAGACTGGAATATCAGATGGCCTGGCTTCTGCTAATGCCCTTATTATATAGAAGTGGGACTGTTTCCCAGTAATCATGGTGACAAGACTTCCTTACTCCCAACTCAGAGGCTAATGCTTTTTGTTCAGCGGTTTGCATGCTGGGACGCAGGTAGGAATGCGTCTCTCCTCACCTCCAGCACACCTGGCTCACCCCTCCCGCCTCACCTCAAATGAGCGAAGCCCCTGTCTTTCTGCTCACCTAGAAAGAAGGCACAGGTTTCAGGCAGGCAGGTGGACTTCACACGCAGAGGTCTGACAACCACAGCCAAATTCTCCTCCCAAGTCAAAGGAGGGGAAGGGGGTAGGATGTAGAGTTCAGAAGGAGGACAACCTGGCTTTTATCTGAATAGTTTTGCATGAAGCTCAATGCATTACCTTTATTCTATCTTTGCTAAGAGGAAGGAAATATGACCACTGTATTTTCAGGTGTCACTCTGCACGCCCGGCCTATCAGGCTGTGTGGTGCCGTAAATGTACTGAACAGAGAAGCCGAGAAACTCCAAATGTTCTGGGAAGAGAATTCAAATCCGCAAACTTCTTGGGGAGAGATGAGACCAAAAGGCAGAGACAGGGCTGGCCCTGCAGCCCACCACCTGCTCCAGGGACAGACAGGACATAAAGCAGGAATGGAAGGACATGGAACACAGCAGCGGAGGGTTTTTCCATGAATGTCAGGCTGGACACTATCCAGTTATGTGGCCAGGGCAAGCAATGTGACATTATAGTCCTGTTGTGCTGGCCTCCATTCTCTGTCCACTATCCACTCTCCTCAGTCGTAGGGATGTGTGCAGAATTTCCCCCCTGGAAACCTCCCTACTCTACCCACTCCCTGTTCTATATCACGTAATTTATAGCAATGGTTGGTCAGGAACTAGAGATGTAAGGCAATGGTTGCTGGGCTTCTGGGGACGGCCAAGGGGACAGTGTGTAGAGCCTGAGTATGAAGCCAGAGAGGGAAGACAGTGGGTGAGTGGATCCTTGTTGGCACAGCTTGAGCTGCTGGCTTTTCCATTACAGGTGCTGAGAGAGTCCTCGCGTGCACATCTGTACAGTGGCTAATAAGACTCTCAGCCACGTGGGAAATGGTGCATGTCAAGCACTTTCTGCCATGTGTGGCACCCAGCAAGCAAGCCATTCCCAATCCTTACTGGTATTGTCGCTCTTGGGCCAGATTAAGGAATAAACAGTAGACTAAGCCAGATCTATGATATTCGTGTCAGGACTCTTGGTTGTAAGTAACAGAAACCCACCCCTGACCGGCTTATGCTAAAGGTAATGATGCATTGTCTTAGGTAGCAGAAGAGGTCAGGGTGTGCTGGTTTCAAGCCTGTCAAGGCCAAGGACCCATACTCTACCCTTGGCTTTTGGTCTCTAGCTCTTTCCATGCCTCTGTTTTCCATCTGCTGGCTTCTGCTCAGTGAGGCTGTCTCTGCAAGGCCCCCCACTGTCTCCAGGCTTGCATCTTATCAGCAGGCAGCTAGTCACTGTCCCCAGGGGTGGGGATGAGGGTGGGGTGGGAGGTGCCAAACACTGATTAGTGGGGCCAAATAGGCCAATGGGAAGAGCAGCCCCAGGGGAACTACGCAGAAAGATAGGGCCATGGGTGCTTCACGAGGCCGTTTTGGGGCACTCTGAACACAAGTGTGTGTGCCAAGCAGGTAAATACAAGAGGGCTCACACAGGACTGTCCAGTACAGATCCCAAACCCAATAGGGATTTCTGCTCATAAGACATCAAGCCACAGAGGCAGGCAGCCCTCCTCCCCAAGTAGGTCTTGAGTTATTCAACCAAGGTGCCATATTTCTCTCTAGGCCTTCGCTTCTCTGGGCCAGACATCCCTGCCCATCCCCAAAACTTGCTTCCTAGACCATGCCCCTTCTTCCTGCTTACCTTTCTCTGCATGGGTTCCATTTAATCGGTGTCCCTTGTGAAATTTGGGGCATACCATTGACCATCTATTCAAGACACTCCCTCCTCTTGCTGAGGATCCAGCGTCCCCAGGCTCCACTCAGACTGCTGGTAAGGACAAGCTTCCCTGCCACAGAACTGGCTACCGGGTATCCTAGGGACAAGCAGGTGAGTGGCCTCCACCACCAGGGACTGAATTCACTTTCCTCATAATTCTGTCATTTCAGTCACCTGCTTTGCACATTATCCCCCAAATTCCTTTTTAAGGACCATTCAATTTATCTCTGCCAGACATCCAGCTACTGAGCTGGGACATGGTGGGGAGACGGGGGCACTCTGAGCACTCGGTCTCTGGTGCAGAGGTTCTGCTCTTGGCATCCAGTGAAGGGGGGTGAAAAGGGGGGTGCGGGTAGGTCAGACATTGAGATGGGCTCACCGAGGGCCTGGGGACTGACGCGAGTGAACTCCTGCAGGGAGCCAGTGGCAAGGGGGTGAGCCTGGCTCGGCATGGTGAATTGCCCCACCCCTGCAGCTCCCAAACACAAGATCCCTCCAAGAGAAACCTTCAGGGACATCCTGTGGCTTCTCAGCCCCCTGCTGCCAGCCGGCGAGGAAGAAATCCAATGAATATATTCTTTATTAATACAGTCTTCTTCATATTTTGGTGATTCGGCTTTCAACAATTATGACCTTGAGCCTTCTTTGATTACACAGTGCCCAGCTCTGAATCAACCTAAGTGGCCCCCATTGACTGACCTGCTGCTGCTCAACCGCAGAGCTACACCTGCCTGAACTTCATTTTCCAGGACCTACAACTTTAGCCCCACGCTCAGCACACACTCAGAGATCGCCTGCTCCGGGGGCGCCTGCCGTCCGTTGGTTGAGGACCCGAGTCTTGCTTTCGGCTCAGGTCAGGGTCTCAGGGTCCCGGGTTGGAGCCTGGAGTTGGGCTCTGCCCTCAGTGGGGGTCTGCTTGGGATTCTGACTCCTTTCCCTCCTCCATCTCTCTCTCTCATATAAATAAATAAATCATTTTTTAAAAATGGCCTGCTCTGCTAGGAGCTGATCTCTGCATTGGAACACGGGGTGAGGGTGATGGAGCACAAAACAGAGAAAATCCTGCCCTGAAGAGTCATCAGACGGGGGATCCCTGGGTGGCACAGCGGTTTAGCACCTGCCTTTGGCCCAGGGTGCGATCCTGGAGACCCGGGATCGAGTCCTGCGTTGGACTCCCAGTGCATGGAGCCTGCTTCTCCCTCTGCCTATGTCTCTGCCTCTCTCTCTGTGTGTGTGTGTGACTATCATAAATAAAAAAATAAAATAAAATAAAATAAAAAGAGTCGTCAGACGGTAATGAGGAGAGATGGGACAGCTGAGGTTCTTGTCTAGCCTGGGTATGTTTTTAACTTGTTCTGTGAGCTTAACATACTCTGGGGCCATTCCTTACCTGAAGCTATAGGAGCTCCCACTGTGTGGTTTAGGGGAGAGGCAAAGTGGGGACACATGGGCCTCCTGGTCTCCGGGAGCCGTGCCCCTTCTGGAGCCCACCCTCCAGGCTAGTTCCAGCGTGGGAGAGGAACCCCCAGGGTAGGAAAGTGCCGGCCCCGCCCATATCCCACCAGGGGAACATCCCCTCATTGGACATCTCACCATGTCACGGAGGAAAACAAAAAACTAAAGAAGGTGGTCTCCCTGCCCCATCCCCAGGTCCTCTTCAAGGGCTGCACCGTGCCAACGTGCGAGGCTTTGTGAGATGTCTTGCTGCAAAGCCTCCAGGAAACTCGATTTGGGAGGGCATGGTGTAGGGAGGTGTTTGCTCAGTTGCGTGATTGCTTTTTACAACCCAAAGCTCCGGCTCTGAAGGTAAATGTTTTCAAACCAATAAAAGCAAAAGGCTGGTGCTGCAACAGCCAGTGGGGAAGGGGGCTCATCCCTTCTCTTGGCAGACTGTGGCAGGAAATGTGATGGGGCCTCCTGGAGCTGGGTCAGCAGGGATGAATCCCACCCCCGTTGTACCCCCACCGCATTGAAACCTCCCTCTGCTCACGCCCTGACTTGTTGGCTTCTCTGATCCTTTCCTTATCATGTTAACAGAGAAATTAGGGTGTTGGACCTTTTCTACCTCCGTTTACATAAAAGCCAATGCCTGCACTTTAAAAAAGGAAGAGACAGAAAGAATGAGAGAGAGAGAGAAAAAGAAGAATTTGGGTGAGCGAGAGAGAAGGCAGGATGGCTGGGAAGGGGAAGGGAGAAAGAAAGACTATTAGGAGGTAGGAGCAAGTGCAGAGGAAAACCATGCCCCAGCCCTTGTGGGCAGGG